GGACATGAACCTGTTCAGCCTCCACAAGAGAAGGCTGAGAGGGGATCTGGTGGCCATCTATAAACTTATCAAGGGAGACCAGCAGGGAATGGGAGTGACCCTGTTCCCCCGAGCACTACCAGGAGTAACTAGGAATAACGGCCATAAGTTGACCGAGAATAGGTTCAGGCTAGACATCAGGAGGCACTACTTCACAGTCAGGGCAGCTAGGATCTGGAACCAACTTCCAAGGCAAGTGGTGCTCGCTCCTACCCTGGGGGTCTTCAAAAGGAGGCTAGATAATCACCTTGCCAGAATTCTTTCCTGCTCATGGCAGGGGGTTGGACTCGATGACCTGCTCAGGTCCCTTCCAACCCTACCAACTATGAAACAAGCATAAGTGATGTATAAGTGATGCCAGTGCGGGGGCAGGGGCACAACTCCACACCACCGCTGCAGTTGCGGGGCACAACTCTACACTGCTGCCACTGCTGCTGTTGCTTGGTGCCGACTCCAGACAAGGTGCAACCTCATGCCTGTGCCCTGCTATCTGTGCAGACATCTGGGGGAGCACATACCCTTTCCTCCCAACCCCAGTGTCCCTCTGACATATCACCAATGATTGCAAGAAATACTTGGTCACATATTTTAGCCATGTCCTACTATCATTTCTTATTCCAAAGAAATTATAACTGGAGTTAACATGATTTTGAACACAACTGTATCTGCCTTGCTTTGTGGAGCCTCACCTGGGTGGCCCTTGAGTAAGAGCTCTGAGCCTGCTGGGGAGTCAGCTCCAGCTGCCCTAGTGTTTGCTCATCTTCTCCCCAGGGAAAGCCCAGACACTTTCCTGCCATGTCTTAGATGTAAAGTTCACGAGTGGAGTTCCCTTTCGTTGTGGAAGGACATGCAGGGAGTCATTGCTGGTTGATGCTCCAGGGGCTCCATCTCCCCTACATAGGCTCCCGTGTCCCTGATCTCATACTCTTGACCTCAGAGGTCGGGCACCATGTTGATTTGGTTGGCTGCCTCTTTCTTATTGGCCATGTTCCATGGCTCTCTGGTCATAAACCCAGTGACAGTTCAATAATTCCGCTCCAACAGGGTTTTGTGGGTACAGGGTCAACCCTAATGGTAGGTCATCCTGACGATGTCAGGAGTCCATGAGTATCCCCAGGGGGCTCAGCCCCCAACGCTAGTCATGGGGCCTTTTCTCCCGGACTGCGAGACCTCGAAATGAAGGCAGAAAAAATTCAAATAAACTCCAGGGAGGGCCAAGGGGCCCCCTCCCAATTCATGTGTCCTGTGTGTGAAGGCACTGATCGTCCCTTGGTTCGATCCCGGGACCCAGCTTGCTTCCTGCGTCAGGTGCTGGGTGCTCTTCTGTCAGCGAGTGGAACCCCGACTGGATCCTCCTCCAGCCTTTCCTTTTAGGGACAGGCAGGTTCATAGCCAGCCTGGGAGAGGAACTCATAGCCTCCTCCTTGCTGCATTCCCCTGCCTTTTCCCCACCACCAGCTTTTATCACAGCCAGGCAGCATCTTCTCATGACATCATCCTCCCACGCTGGTCCCAGTTGTATAGAAAAGCAACAGATGAACCACACATGAGGTTTGTTCCCCTGAGGTGAGCCCTGGCTTGCCACATCTGAAAAGGTAAGTGCACCCTGTGCAAGGGGTTGTTTCCCTGGAGATGCAGCAGGCTGTCCCCTCCCTGACTCCAACCACGGAAGAAAGGTTTCTGCCCCTCTTCTTTCATCCCCCTAGGACAACAACATTTATACCTTTGGCATATATGTGCATTCTTGGGTATATTCCCAAGGAATCTAAATTAAATCTTTCCCAGATTACATTTTTACAGGGGGTCTTATTATTGACATGTAGGATTATATTACTGCATTGGGAGAGTAAGACATCTACAAAGGCCAGTATCTGGTATGATGAGATGGCACAGCTGCCATCTATGGAGACTGTCATGTTTGGCAGGCTTAACTGTTTTGAACTGTTTAGTGGAGTTTGGGAGGAGTTCTTAAAATATTTCAGTAATTAAAATATTAGCCCTTACTCACCTTTTTCTTCTTCTGTTCCTCCCTCTTCCTTCTTCCATTTTTTCCCCCTTCATTATTTATTATTTGTGACAGATATGTACATTGTTTATACTTCATATAGAGTTGATACATATTTCTTACTTTTGTATTGCATTAAAAAAATAATCCTAGAAATAGAAATGCAGTAAGAGAATGCTAAACCACAGTAGTTTACCCCTCAGTGAAACAGGATTAAAGTTATTGTGATTTAGTTTTTACTTGCCCAGATGAAAAGTGCACACAAAGGCAGTTGCCAACGAGCAGCTGATATGCATTAAGACCCTGATCACTTTACTCCTAGTAACTGCTGTGTTTGTTCATGCTTAAATCAGTGGATACCAACCTTTTTTTGGCATGCATACCACAAATTAAGCCTCAAATCCTCTGAGTGCCACTTCCATCCCTTTCCCCTGCCCTATGCCCCATGCGATATGTTGGTGTGCTTTTTGCTCCCCGCCCCATGCTCCCTCCCTGATTTGCTCCTCTGTTCCCTTCCTCCTGCCCTGTGTTCCCTGACTGATCTGCTACTCTCCTTTCTGCACTAACTGCCCTGTTCCTAGTCTAACATGTGCCACACACAGAGGCTACCCATACCACTTGTGACATATGTGCTGCATGCTGGTCACCTCTGTTCTAAGTAGTTCCATAAAACTCACATCTCAATTTGTGCAATCAAGCTCTGCTGTGTATAGTAAATGGAAAATGCTGTTACAAACATGAGGGCTTCTCTACCCTTGCAAATTAATCTGGATTAAATTAAGTAGCTAATTGTAAATACAGTAGCTGTTGCAGAGTAGCTCCCTGTGTGGATATTCTGGAGAAACAGTAAGCTTCACAGAAATAAGGCACTCTTATTGCAGAAGACAAAGCATCTGTGCACATAGTTATGAAGGAATAATTCTTCTGAATAACTCTATATGAGTATATACAATTTAGATGACAGGGTTTAAACTGGCTTGGAGATATTTCCTCCCTGTTCAATTACAAGCCTGTGTGGTTATCTTCAGCTTCTCTCTTCCATCCCAGCTACCCTAGAAAGAGCTCATTATAGTTTAGTAGCCATCAGTCCTTGCCTTCCATCTTACAGATGAGGAAAGGACTAAGAAAAGGCGTGCCATAAAGGTTTTCCTCATCATGTATGGATATGCAAAAAAGAGGAGTTATTGAACTGACAGGACAGAGAGAAATGTCTTCCACTAGTTATAATTATATTAAGATAAGTTTACTCTAGAAAATAAAAAAAAATAAGAGTCAATTGTTCAGTACTCTGCACACTTAGTGAAGTAAAGGGCCTAATTCAATATGTATTAAATATATGTAAAAATTTTCATGGACTAGCATGAGCTTTGGATCAGTCCCTAAGGGGAGTAACATCAATGGTGAACCACATCTCTCTATGCTGTCTGCCACCAGGATCTTCCACTCCTGATGGAAGGGAACACCCACAATGTAGGAGGTGAATTCACATTTTAGCTCATAGTTTCTCTGAGGCTAGCCTAAAGCATGTTGTTTTGAGGGTGGTTTTGGTAATATGGAAGTTGTCTCATTAGACCTGTGCCCTCCCCAAAAATGACATGCTCACTGACACCTAAAGCTGAAGTCCCAAAATGAAACTAATAAATCCTAGAATTAATTCTTTGAACCATTCAACCCAAATTCTCCCTCTAGATGCAATGCCCTCAAGAATAATATATTTATCTATGCTTATACATCGACTGATCTGATCTTATCTGGAAGCCAGGACCTGAATTATATAAAGAATAGCTGACATTTACGGTTATCTTTACTTTTGCTGGCCTGCTTAGCCTAAACGCAAGATAATATAATGCTAAGAATAAAAAAAAAAAAAAATAAATCTAGAAAGTATGTTTTAAGAACCTCTTTCTTAATATCTAATAGAGAATCTATATTTATTTGGTTTTGAAGTAACACTTCATAGGTACGAACACATTTTTAAATAGATTTTTACATGTTGTTATTTCATCTTTGTATTAAGAAAAATACATGCAATATTAATAATTTTGATAAAATAAACATACCACAGATTTAAATGTAAAGCTTTGGAGCCACCTTCTGGCAATAAGAAAACACTACATCTCAAACACATTTCCTTTTCAAACTTAAAAGAAAATGAGAAAAAGAGAATTTGTGAGAGAGACTAGCTCAAATTATGAGGGCAATGACTCCATGGGGGGGGGGAAGAAAAAAAAAAAATATCACTGTAACCTAAACCAAATGCATATACATTCTCTTATCTCCAGTTAGTAGATATGCCAATTTCTTCTGTGCAAGACAGATTAAGTCTCAAAAATAAGATAATGAAAAAGGTGAAAAGAAAAATATCAAGCTATTGGAGTTAAAACTAAAAGTAGCATGGGTTAATTCTATTTTTGTTACCACACTGTCAATCTGGGATACTTCCATTCAGTGCTTCATAGCGTGATTTAGCTATATTTTACAAGTCAAGATTATTGGACTATGATCAAGACCTAGACTGTCAAGTACATCCATGACCTCTAGAGGCAACTGCCTGAGCTCACCTATTTACAGTAGTGACCATTTTTTTCATCCATAGCTTGCCTAAACTGCTGCATGTTTTGGGACAACACAGCTCACAGGGCCCAAGACAAAGTTCACAGGAGATGAAGGCAGAACATCCCAGGTTTAAAGGAAGTTGATAATGCAAACAGCTGCATGAAAGATTAGAAACTGACCACTTTGAGATGCAGTTACAAGCCCCTGCTCTTGAGGAAAGTATTTCTACAAGGATGATTTAAACAGAACTAATTCCTGAAACAAATTCTCCATCAACCAAGGAAAGAAAGACGAGAATAGGATTCCATAAGGTCATCCAAGTATACCGCTATGTGGTTGTGTTTCCCAGGGTTGCTTCTCTGTACATCAGTGATGGGTGATAAAAAAAGAAAAAAAAGAAACCCTAAAATCCTTAGGTTTGGGCTCAAACTTCCAAAGACACCAGCGGTAAAATAAATGTTTAGGTCAATTAAGAAGGTCACCAACTTCCCTCTGAATCCAGACAAAAATCTTCCTCTGACTGAGACCTTTCAAAGTTTACAACAGCATTCTAGCTCAATTCTGATTTCAGTTCTTATTTTCCTTTCTGTAGCCTCCTCAATCTTTTCCCCTTGAATTATCATGTAAATGGAGAATTAACAGCTCAGCTCCATCATGTACTACACTACAGGTAGATTTATATTTGTAAAAAAGTGATGCTCTTCCGGGGTGTAATACTTTTACAGTACTTTGTGAAGAAAATGTTTGCTATAAACACCTCCGATTCTGTTAAAGAAATAATGGATTTAAAGTTCATCTGGCAATAGATCATTAAGAACATAACTTTTCAACAGACTTTTCAAGATGCCATATTACATTTTGTTTCCTTTTTAACACTTGTCACTAAATGCCACAAGGAACATAGTATTATCTGTAACCCATTACAGTATCTTGCTACTCCTCTTCCAATCTGACTATAGATGTGATATATATACGTACACACAAGGAAGTTTTGGTGATATCCCTTCATTAGACCAGAACTTCATTGCCAAATCTCACACAATCACATTTTTTGTGGATTTGGATCCTCATGAAGTATTATTATTAATCTCAATGACATTTCTATAACATTACTGGAACATTTCCAATCAAACTTATTTTCCAGTGTGTAAACTATCTTTCAATGTTTAAAATAAATAGAACTCAAGCACAAAAGGATCTGGCTAATGTTTAGCAGCCAACCCGGGCCTCTCACCTCAACTCCTATTATGATGGAAATGAATTCAAGAAAATTGAAGCAACTTTTTCTATGAACAGTTTTTTCCCCTCCCCCAAACTGCTAATATCCTTAGAAGCAGTTGTTATTTCTGTCATCATCCCTTTGGATTAATATACATTTGAGTCCTCAGGTCTCCCTTCCACTGAATTCCTAAACACCCTGACATCTCCTCCTCCTGGCATTCTCACACAATACAGCCAGGCCTCAGCAGATATAATCAGGACTGAAGAGCAGCCTTCAGACTTTTCATTTGAGTCCATGTCAGATGTCAGTGATGAAAGATGTACAATACTTCCCCACATGCATGCTAATAATATATTTCAGATTTGACTACTCTGACCCAGGTGCATAATCCTCTATCAATTTTTATATTGTAAAAATTATAAAGGCATTGTACTTGTGAACTTTTGCTAAGGCTGTTAGAGTAATTGCAGCTGAGATATGCTTAAAAAGGTATCAAGATTATAGGCATATTGGAACAAAAAGGTTTTGAACATTTTTTTCTATACAGACTGATAAAGTGACACAAAAACTGATCTACTCCCTTAATTAAGAAAGTAAATTCCCAGTTGATCATCCATTTCCAGTTCAGCAGTTGTAATATCCAACATGCTACAGTTAGACTTCAGTCTGTCAACTTATATTGCACATCTAAAAGGGATGAGATAAGTATACTCAGGAGTGCTTTGCTTCTGATTCTCCCATCAGTTGAAAATGGGTCATGGACACAACTCCTGCAAGGAATTTTCTGAAGCGTAAGAGATTCAGTATTGTACTGTGACACTATACAAAGACTGTTACAGGGTTTCCAGTTCATGGCAGGTTGGTGTACTTCCATCTGAGTCTTGCATGGACATATACTTTATTGGAGGTGGTGGTGGCTTGAAAGATGGAGGTCTGTTCATACTAAAATAAAAAGAGTGTTTGAAAATATAAGAACTCATGAGGCACAAAAAAATTAACATACTTAGGCAGGCATGTATCCAAGCACATCTATGTAGAGCTAGAATAAAGCAAAACCCCAGGTTCTAAATTCTCAAACAGCTGCAAATTCCACAAAACCAGGGTACATTTTAAAGGATTTTTCATACCTATATTTCTTTAAACATTTTTGGTATTGATACAGTATTTGTAGGTTAGTCTAAGCTGCATAGATTGAACCAATAAACAACTAAACAGACATTCTCTTTTGATACCAAAAATGCAGCCATATGTCTGCAGTGGCTCAGGCCAGACGTTGGAGGATAATAGATCATGCCTCCCTGCTCACTTGGAGCAGACAACTTGGGCTAAGTCTAGCCCATCCACACTGTGAGGGGCTGTTTGCAGAAGAGGTGCAAGGCATCCTGGGATGATGGGGAACTATGATTTGACTTGACTGTGAAGATCAAAGAAGTTCAAAAAACTGATTTAGCCTAAACCAGTTAAATCTGATACTACATCCATCCAGGTTTATCTTAACCAGGTTATACCATTTTGAAAGCAGTTTATGTGCACTGAACTTGTTGTGTTACAGATTTGAACCAGTTTCTGATCCCTTATGCCTGTTTATATGCAATTTCTGTCCCTAGTCTAGAGGAACTGAGTTAGTTTTCTATGTCCTTAAACCTCCTACCACAAAACTAGGGTCTCATATACAAAGGGTTAGTGGGAACACATTTGTGTTGAATGCAAGAAAATGTCAATGACATATTTCACATCTATTTATGAAAAAGCAACTTTATATATTGAGGTACTTGAAAAAGGCCCCATGTTGTTTTCCCATCTATGCATATATGGATATGCATATTCATGTACAGATATATGGAGAGCAGCATTCCCTCTAAGCTGCGAGGTGTCCACAGCTGTGCAGGCGCACCTGGCAGCATAGCATGAGTGTGCCTACGTGGCTGCGCACACCACACGGCTTAGAGGGAACGCTGATGAAATATATCACATGTGGATATATGAAGATACATACATATACTATATAGAATAGAATGCAAGTATAAATAAGTGAATATGAGTGTTCACATATTAAAAGTCTTATCTTGAACTTAAAAATATGGATCTGCACTCACACATTCTTCTGTATTATTCTCTTTCCTTTTCTCCCATTAATACTTACATTTCTCTTTGGTACTGACACCATTTTCTGACCCCTAAAATTATTATAAAAGTACAAAACAGAAGTAGAATTGTCATAACCGCTGGCCAAGGGAACTGGTTATTGCTGTTATTCTTCACAGTGCCTGAAGAAGACATAGGGAGAAATAATTCAAATTCCAGTTAGTAAGAGACAAAGGAAAATAATTTCTACTTGATTTAATTAATCAGGCAACGTTCCATACATGTATGCACAGTAGCCCCAAACTTATGTGGAATTTCCAGCACCTTTACATTTAGGTGTCTAAACGTACATTTCTAAATTAGGATTTAGATACTGAAGTGGTTTAATTTTAATTGGTGCTAAGATTACAATTCCATTTGAAGCATTCCCTACTTCTAAAGGTCAGAGTACTTACCAAGGTATTTTCTTAGGTTGAAATAAGCACTTAGGTTGAAATAACTGAGACTTGCATGCCCCTTCCCCTTCCCCCCATTCAGCTTTGGAGATGCTATGAGATTGAGAAACCAAGAGAAATGTGTTCCCAGAGCCAACATCTGTATCAATTTTTGCATCTGGCCCATACCAATCCATTTTGACATTTTCTAAACAGACATCATGCTCTGGAAGAATTTGTTCAGTTTTCTGAACTAGGGATAGTTCTCCAAGAACTTACTCAATATTTTGGTTTCCTACGAAAGGATATTTGGATGCATTAGCTAAATTTACAAGACTTCTCATAGATGGAAATATATTTATCAAAGATACTAGCTCCTCAGTTTAATGCTAAGCTTCCCCCTCCCCCCACCCCGGCAGTACAGACTGAAGGCTAAAACAACTTAAAGTCACACTAGAATGCAGAGCACTGGCACTATTTAGTAAAATTTTGGACTCAGTGGTAAAGAAATGTAGCAATTTTTAAGCACAGTGTTAAATTGCTTAGCTTCAGTTTTCACAGCCCTTGGGCACCTCCAGACATGCACGCACATGTGGTTTGTGGCACCTCAAAGCTGTTTGAGGTGCCATAAATCACCTGGAAATTTGCAGCGTGGCATCAAAATTTTATACCAGGAACTCCCAGTATCACAAACATCTGCAGCAAAAAAGTGGCTTCTGGAGCCTGCATTGTGCATGTGCCAACAGACAGAGGCTGGGTTCTCCAGACAGACACTTTGGCTGCTGTCCAGAGTGTCTTCCCTCCTTTAATTCTCCCCTAGCTCCTCCAGCATGGCAGGGCTTGAAAGGAGTGGGGGAACATTTGTTCTTTGAAGGGGGATATTTTGACCTCCACCAAAACAAGCACAGGGGCATGAACAGCACCAAAAAGCAAATTTGTGCCACTGCTAATTTTAAATAGGCACACTTATCTGGATGTACCCCTTGTTACTGAGCATTTCTCTAGTCCATTGGAGTTAATTGAACAACGTTTATAACTGCTCAGACAATCTGAGTCAAAAGCTCACAATCAGGCACAGCAGCTCTATTTTTAACTTAATACTACCTTTCCTCTACTGAGCTGAAAAAAAAAAATATCTTGCATCTTTGGCGTGAGTGAAAGTCCACAAAAATACATTTTTCATTTCCATATTTTTGGACTAGTAGTTTGGATGATAGCTACAATGGTACCTCAATCTCAAACCTCAGATTAAACACAACTGCCCAACGTAAAGGCAACTATGATAACATGAATGCAGTTTGAATTTATATAATCTGACAGTGGAAAAATACACAAAGCATAGAAGTTGGATTTACCCATATTATTGTCCGAATTCTTTATTGTAGATAGGTTTTCCCATCTAGTAAATGAAGTTAGGCTGGCTACTGTGGTGGAGGATAAATTACCTAGAAGATATTAACACCAATGTATTAACAGCCTGCTCACTTTTATTACTAAAAGTATTTAGAAATCAGTTTTCAATCTAATTTATAGAACCTAATGACAGACTGAAAATCAGATGCCAGAATCTAAATCTAGTATATAGACACACATCAATATCTGAACAAAATTTTGATCCATGATACACTGGATAAAAGCAAGCCTTTATAAAAATCAAGTAGAACAACGTTGGTGAAAAAACAATGGCACAGCACTTCTGTGAAAGAGAGAGCATTCCACCTGCTCTATATAGATGGAGTAATGGAAACCAAGAGAAATCAGGTTACTTCCTAGAGTCAAATGGAGTCCGACAGCAAATCCAGTAATATAACCCCAGCCTTCTAACTCCAAGTACTGGGTCTACACCACAAATACCATCCTTTGTTTGCTTGTAAACAGTTCCTTTCCCTTCCCACTCTTACAAAAATAGCTAAATAATATGTGTTCTCATGACTGGTATTGCCTTAGGACATTTTTAGTTTTTTTTCTATACCAGTCCCTCTAGTTCATGGCTTTTTCGAAATGATCACCTACAATACTTAACCAGATTACTACATTTGTATGAGAACTGACAGCACTTACCATGAGGTGGGGTTATATTTTGACTAGGATGGGTCATACTCATGAAGCTTTGTTGGGTTGCAGTAGAGGCATTTCTTCCTGTATAAAACAATAAATTTCCAAATGACATTTTACAAGCTGTTATTGCTACCTCAGCATTAGCATTGGTACTTAATGGCACTTCCTCTCCTCTGTTACTAGTAGCAAATGAAATAATAGACATAACAGAAAAACACTGGTACCATGGTGGGTACTTAAATCTAATATACCCAAATGTAAATGCCATTGCTAAAACAAGCAGAAAATGCTGTATTTATTCACATACCACATGCACCCTTCCCTCCCCCATCAAATCAACCCTCCAAAATTGGGGTGCGCGTCTTAAGCAGGGAAGCTAAATTTTCCTCTCTGGAATAGAAGCAGGGTGGAATAGAGCCGCAAGTCATAGCTGCCACTTTTCCCTGGGGCTGCAAACTGTAGGGGAAGAGTCCAGTGTTAACTCTTTCAGCCACTGGTGGCTTTTGGTTGAAAAGCAACTGAGCTGGGTAAATGAGCTGCTGAATGCACTCTGTAGTATCTTGATGAGGCTTGTGGTGTGGAAACAACACTTTATTATTCACAGCATCTTATATAAAGAACTTTTTATTAGTAAAGAAGTGACAATCTTGTTGCTACTGCCCTGGGGCCTAGTGTTGTGACCGTTCTATCACACCAGAAAGTCCCTGCTGCCCCACCCAGACTCCTGGGATACCGTGCTTCCTGAACACTTTATGTTACACAGTTTCATAGACATTAGGGCTGGAAGGGACATCGGAAGATCGAGTCCAGCCTCCTGCCCCAGGGGCAGGAAGTCAGCTAGGGTCAAAGGATCTCAGCAAGATAAGTGTCCAAAAGCTTCTTAAGGGAGTCCAGACTAGGTGCTTGCACCACCTCTGGAGGGAGCCTGCTCCAGGCAATCGGGGCTCAGAGAGTAAAGAAGTTTTTCCTTATGTCCAGTTGACTACGACTCTGGAAAAAGCTTTTTTCTACATTCTGCCGTCCAACAAACAAGGTGCATTTCATCTGGGGGGTGTAAAGCACGTGAGAAAATAAGGTACAATATTAACTCTCTCAATGAATTTCTACAAAATGAGGTAATTTGTTTGACTTTTAATGAGTCAAACATTGTGACAGTCTTAAAAGAAAAACATCAGCTCCAGCTTCGGATAGAAGGTCATGGTCCTTCTTTTACTCAAACACGTTAAATGCTCAGTTCCAGAAAGGATGAGTGTTTATTGCTGGATTTTTATAACACCTCTGCCCAGTGAAAATTTGTAGCTATTTAATACCAAAAAGCCCTACCTACTTATTTTTGGATTTATTGTTTGCATTAATTCAGCATATAATCAATCCCAAATGAGATTAATCCCAATTGCGTTAGTACAGTGTCTAGCACAATGATGCACAGTCTGCCTTAAAGAACTTGAAATGTAAATGCACATAAACCATAACAAAGACAGGAAATATTAGGAGATCATTCTGTTACCAAGATCGAGTGACTTTTTTTAAGAACAAAAATACTCAATACAGCTCTCTCACAACATTTTAGTTTCATATTCTATATTTATGCCATAGGTCAACACACTGCTACTAGGCTTTTTACCATATAGGTTTCATGAATTCATAGCTTCTCTTTGCTTTCTCTACTAAGTAATTTTATAATGGTTTTACCCATGATATAGTTTAATGTTATCACTATGCTACTAAACATTTTTAGTTTCAATTTTGCCGCTGACTCAAGTCCTTCCATAACACATCTGCACATTGAAGTTCACCTTGTATCTACTGACACACGCCCTCAAGGAGGGATAACTTCCCTCGAGTGCCTAGCCAGGGATCCACAAACCTAATGTGAACACTTATTGCCTTCAAGGCTAAGTACAAACAGTCAAAAAGCCTGAGGCTGAATTGGTTCAGTCTTTGCACATTAGTCTAAACTGCAGAGATTAAACTGAAATAGAAGTGAATAGAGATTCAGGAAATACAGCCACATGCCTGCAGTAGCTTATGCCTGCAGAAGCTGTGGGATGCTATAAACACGCCTCTCTGGCACCTCCAGTATGGGCTGTGTGTTTGCTTTCTCTTCCTGCTGTCCCCAAAGGTTTCTGGAATGTGCTGCTTCTTGCCCAAAGTCACAGCAGCAAGACTCTGCAGGGTTGCTCACCACTTCCTCTTTCTGCTTCTGGGTGCCTCTGGCATTTGTAGTCCACAGCTGCAGCCAGCAATAAGTTTGATCAGGGGAAGGGGTATTTAACCCCCCTCCCTGGCCCCAGACCTTAGCCAGGGTTTGCTTGTGGGGGTTAGTCCTCCCCTGCCTTGCAGACTGGGCTGCATCCCCAGCTGGGCTTGCCCTCCCACCCCCTTGTCAGCCAGCCCTCATTGCCCCAGCTAGGGAGCAGAGGGGTGGGGTCAGCCTTGTTCTCTGGAGAAGACAGCACAGCCCAAACCAGGGTTGCAAAACATTCTGGGATGCTAGGGGACTGCTGTGATTTAACTTGAACCAGGAAGAGGTCTGGGACAGAAGTTTCATAAACTAGTTTGACCCAGATCAGTTAAGTCTGATACTACATTCAACCAGGTTTATCTGAAACCAGTTTCAGCCATTTTGAAACTGGTTTATGTGCACTGACCTTTTGTTCTGTTACAGGTTTAAACCAGTTTCTTATCACTTAAACTGGTTTATGTGCAACTTCTGTCCCTAGCCTAAAGGTTAAACAGCTATGGAATCTGGATTACCATTTGAGAGGAAAAGCTACCATATCTGTCTTTCTTTCACAAAGTTTAAGTCCAACATTTTTCTGAATATTAGTAAGGCAGAGGTAGGAATGGCAAAATCAACTTGAGATCTGATTATCAGTGGAGATTAGCCATACCAAACCCCAGTCTCTAATATTCCCTGGGGACCAATGATTGTGTTCTGTAGTGGGGTGACCAGCCACAAAATATAATGCTATTTGCTTCACAACATAGAGTATGTCTAATATTGCACAAGAGATATCAATTTAGCTCCATCTAAAACTTGCAGATATTGATATTTTATTCCAAAACTCTGAAAGCAATAGATTAGGGCCGATTTGGATTTATTTGCCATCTGTACATCTCTGGTGGAGATTAAATTTATTTATTTTTACAAACCATTTTTTAAGCTTGTTACATATGTCTAAGTGTGATGAAATAAACCTGTGGGCAACAGGGGTGCTCATATTAGCAATTCCAATCAAGAATATGGCACAGTGTATTACTCCATATGAGACTTTGCATTATAATATAATGTAATCATTGAAGATGTGTTTCAGAAGGAAGGATGGACTGAGCTATTGACATTTGTTTGATCATATGTTAATATATTATCTGTGGACCATTACACAGAGAATAATTTCTCACAGAGAATTTTCTTCTTACAGCTATAAGGCAGGCTTTCACACTTCAACTTTAAAGAGCTAGCAATCATGAAAAAACAAAAACAAAAACCAGTACTTGAAGACTGGTTGGCTTAAGTAAATGGGTGTGCACTATGAAGTCTTTCCCAGGTAGGATAAGATGTTGCATTTTTCCTGAGACAAGCTGTGCCTGTGTTTATCCTAGAGTGGAAGAGTCCCGGGATGGGTGTGTATACACATTGCCCTTCCAATCCCGGTTTAGTGAGTGGCTGAATGACTGGCTTTCTGCCGTCGATTCAGTGATGCAATCCTGGAACAACCACTCAGACAAACTTGTGATGTCCCAGCACAGGGACATTGCAAACAAGAGCTAACCCTTGATATCACGTAAACCTTTTTAGGGTTTATCCTGGGACAATAGATATGGACATCTGAATGAAACTGCTAATGATTCCTCCCATGACAAATGATGATGTCTGTTTGTTTGTAGCCTCAGAGTAATGACTGAAAATTATTATCAGCTGCTGGCCAGTGACAGCTACATTAAGGTATCAAACCATTTTCCATATCCTTAAGCCTCCTACCGCACTCATGACTCTCTCTACAGAAAAAAAAAGACTAAACTGAAGGGACAATGAAGACTCAGTTACCATCTGCCATTACAGAGAATACCTAGTCCCCTCTGAATCTGAAGCACAACGCAAGGTCAGAGGTGTAATAAAGCAGCCTGGCACTGGAAGGGTGGCTGGGATGGAGGGGGAGGGACTTCTGGCTGCTGAAACTGCTGGCATGGATGTGCAGCTGCTGGGGCAGATGTTATTTTTCTGTTCCCTCCCAAGTCAGCACCTGGGGTTGCTGCGTGGGTTTCCCTGTCTTAGTTACAACACTGTGTGAGGTCAATCTGTACTGCTTGTATATGCATGTAGATTCTAGCATGCCATATAAAGCTCATGAAAAGTTCTGGGTAACTTATTGGTTAAGATCTTACCAAACAAAAAATTAATCTAAAAGTGTGTGTGTCATTTACTTACTGGAGGGTGTTGCCGTCTCGCTTGAAGATGTAGAATTGCCATGACCTTGTGTGTCTGTTGTAGGATTAAGCTGGCCTGTTGGAAGAGGAACACTTTGCAAAAGTTGCTCTACAGAAATATTGCCATTTCCCTTTCCCATGGCATTGTTCCATGACAGGACAAAATGCTCATGATTTCCCTATTTAGTAGCAGTAGTTGTGGTTAATTCACAGACAAACAAACTTAAGGAACAAATGGGTATTTCAGCATAAAACTCGAAAGTGATTTTGCTGTGAACTAGGAATGCAGAAGGACTGTAATTGACTTGGTTTGTGAAACTCTCTAGGGAAACTAGTCTCAATTTGACCCAAACTACACCTGAAAATTTCATCTGAAGTCTGGATGCTTTGGATTGAATGTTGGGTCTTGTTTAAACATGAAGCCAGTAAAAGATGAGTGCAAACACAGGTAAAATTGTGGAAAAGGGTACTTGAACTTCTATCACAGAAAGTCAGGACTGGAAGGGACCTCAGGAGGTCATCTAGTCCGACCCCCTGCTGAAAGTCCCAACTAGATCATGCCAGTGAAAGCTTTGTCTAGCTGGGTTTTGAAAATAATATGAAGCCCTTATTTTTTCCAGCTCCAGTGAGCAGATATTTTAAAGGGTGTGAGAGTTCAGGAATCCCTTCTGAAATCCAATACTACCTCTACTCATTTAAGATTTCAGAAAGAATCAAGCAAAATGCTTAGTATTCCTAAGCATATCCTGAACCAGCTATTTAAATCAGACATTCAAACTCTGACATAAAGCAAATAGTCTTCCCAAAACCTCTATTTACCCAGGTTTCTTTCAGACTTGTTAAAGAAAGTCAAACCTTCCTGACACCTGTCTGCACTGTGCAATCTAAGAACTGGTGCAAGCATAAGAAGGAGAGACAAAGCTATTACCTAACTCTCAAAATCTAGGCATCTCTGGTGTTACACTTGAGGGATTAATAAAGCAGCTAAGTGAAGAGCAGGCTGCACTTTCAAGAGGTCTTGTTCTGCCTTCCCCAATCTATTTGTGTTCACTTGTATCACTTCCTTCATCCCAGCTGTCTTGTGGATTTCCATTAAGAATACATGAAATAAGAGAAGCTAAATCAAACAACTTTTGTACTTATGAAGATTTAGAGGGCAAATCCTCTACACTTCCTAACTCAGCTGCTTCCCAGAGGAAAGGGTGACATGGATGTGGAAAGAGATGAGGGAATTAGAGAGGATGAAGTGGTGTTAATGCAGAACACTTCACAATTCAAAGGCCGTGCTCTACATGCAACTGTAACCGATTCCTTTGATTCAGTTACCACACAGCTGTTTCCTGACCTGGTCCCAGGGGACCAGCCGTGTGGAGGTTCTGATTACACCACAACTTTTTCACCCATGTTTTCTGAACTCTTTACAACACATGTTCCTGCTAAGCTGGCAACTCAATTATGTTGGTAGTATAGTATTAGCATTAACTGCTCAGCTCCCTTATACTTGTGTAATATAAGGCAAGATAGAAGACTCATTTTATTCAGCAGCTCTCTGCCTGTTCCTGTGTAACCCAGATGATAGAACCATCTTATTGTGTGTATGTTGCCAACAGAGTTTTTGCACTATTTTCTTCCCTCCAGTGTGTAGTTTGCAATACTTTTCTTCCTCACTATTCACGTTGCCAGTGTTTTTGTATTGATCTGTTGGGCTGCATTTTATAGAACCCTAACTGTAGAGCATATGTATCCTATGTGATGCATACCAGAATCAATTGGAGTGGTCCGTTCCTATCAGATTTAAGTTTGTGAGTGTAAAGCTGCTAGAGGGACATTCACATAATTTAGGGCCCTAATCACCTTTGCAATAAAGAGAATTCCTGCTCACTTCAAACAGAAGTTACACAGCCCAAAAAGGCTGTTTATCCCAAGTAAGACATTTCTCTTCAAGGAAGACAATGAGCTTGATATTACAAGGAAATATAGAACTAAGTATGGTGTATGCCATGATAACCAATTAACAGCCTTCATAAATCTCTGCCTTCTGAAAACCTGTGTTGCATTTGATTGTGACAGCTGTAATTAAAAGAAATGAACTGTGGAATTATGGAAACAGTAGATAAGAGTAACACATGACCAGAATAGAGTAAATTTACCCAAGAGAGTAAACTTAAAAACCAGAAGCAAGCAATGCTTGGCATTTGCACATAATCCCCTTCTTAGAAGTTTAAGCTGACTGAAGGCACATGCTAAAACATACAGACACTGTTTGCAAGTCAATATTAGAATATATAAATGCATTGTCATCTGTGAGCCATGCCTATGGTGGTATTATCAGGAAGATGGGGATTAGGAGTAAGGTGTAGCATTAAGTCTTCTCCATACTCTTAGGAATTAAATTTTTACTATAGGGATGTCCAACTTCTAAGTGGCTGGGGGTCAGACACTGCCCCATGCATGGGCAGCCTCCAACACGCACATGCACACTGCTTCAACCTGCACATGTGTGACCACTCAGCTCTCCCATTGCACCATGCCACAGGCTTCCCCACTGCTGTGGGTGGAACCCCTGCCCCTGGACTGGGAGAAGGAAGCAAAAGCTTAGGAAGATGCGTGTGCGGGGGGGGAGGGAGGCGGGGAGCGGGGTGGGAAGGGACAGAGAACACCTAGAGATCCTGGCTGCAGCAGCCACATGTGGCCCGTGGGCCACCAGTTAGGCAGTCCTGCTTTACTGCATGTAGTTCATCTTTAAAATACTGGAGCTGTTTGTACAACTTTGGACTATGAGACTGAGTAGATGGGGAAGGAAAAAAAAACAAAACAAAAACTTGCCTAATCTTGGAATTTACAAGCTACCAGCCCTTTAGGAAAGGGCAAACAACTAGGCCTCAAAATGGAAATATCCTCTAAAAAGGCAGTGTTTGGAAGGGGCAAGGGGATGCTTTTTCCAGGGAGACTGGAAAAAGCATCCCCACCTCCTCCTCCCCACAATTACTAGCCGATACAACCTCTCTCTTTTGAAATCCCACCAAAACACATTCAAGGCTCAGACAGAAGACCAGCTCCCTGTTTTATCTCATGGCACTTTCCAGTAAGCGCCATGAGTTACAACAATCCCCCAAAACCAACAGAAGTTGCTGTTGTGTTCCCGTGTCCCAGGGGTTGAGGAATCCAGCTGCTGGCTGTCAACCTGCAGCTGGTTTCCCCTAGCAATGTTCCTTTCCACTCCCAGCCCTGATGCTGTTTTCAGAATGGGAGGGGGGAAAGGAAGCAGAGGGAGCTCATTTTGGGGGTTCCCCAGCCAGCGCTGGAGAGTGGAATGGGTAGATTAGAGCACCCCCACCTCATGGGGCTCCAATCTACCTGCCCCACCCTCCAGTTCTAGCTGAAAAATCCCAGATCAAACTCTCCCCACTCCCTTCCCCGCCTCCCATTCTGAAGATAGCACCAGAGTAGTGCTGAGCTGCAGTCAGCTTTACATGCAGACACAAGTTACTGAAGTAACTTTTGGAGCATCTTCACCTGAACCTACATGCAGCGATACTTCAGATTTTCACAGGATCAGGCCCTTTTAAAATTGTCTGCAGCTGTGCATTTTTGTTTGGCTGTAGAGCACTTTCAGGGACCAGATCAGGCAAAAATTGTCACTTCTGTGTGCACTTGCAAGGTGAGAGGCTTAGAACTTAGTCTACTTCAGATTAATCTGTTGTAGTGTTGTCAGGTGTACAACAGATATATGTTGCAAGTTAATCCCTCCAGGAGAGTGGGATTAAAACTTTATACTTCCAAGTAAGTCACACTTCACCGTGCAAACTCCACTGTCAGCAAATCCCCACTGGGTCTGCCACAGACAGAAGAGAGAAAAAAGCACAGTCATACTTTGTAAATTTGTTATTTACTACTGTACTGTGCGTATGTTCTGTTGCTCTGATACTTAGTTTCATTTTTTTCTAGCTGTAATGCGATTCCATTTCCATATACCATCTCGTGTGTGTGTGTGTGTGTGTGTGTGTGTGTGTGTGTGTGTGTGTGTGTGTACGTATATATAATGTCGGGCAGGGGATATTTAAGTAAATCCACTTTCAGAAACTAATGCATATTAGGGCTGTGCAAAGCTTCAGTCACTAATTTGATTTGGCAGAGATTCAACCCGATTTGGTGGCCAAATCTCCAAATCTGAATTGAATCAGGAGACCCTTTAATCTCTCTGAATTGAACCAAAACCTCCGAATCTATTCGGAGAGATTTGACGATTTGGACAGACACTGCTTTAAAATGTTTTTTCTATGTATCTCAAAGTAGCAGGCAGCTCATAAATGCCAAGATGCTGGGGCAGATGGAGCATCTCACAGCAGCATGGGGGACTCTCCAGCATACTCAGCAGCAGACCTGGAAGTGGACCAGAAGCACTTCTGGTTCATGTCTGGGTCCACTGGGGAGTGTACAGGGGTCCCTCTCTGCCTTCCCGGCTCAGTGACTGGTACCTCCTGGGCCTGGGGGGGCACCAGGGGTCCTCCCCCATGGCTGGTTGCCTGGTACCTCAAGGTACACAGAAAAAACATTTAAAGCTATGTCTATTGCCGAATCTCTGAATCAGCATCAGATCTTCAGATTTGGTTTCGGCCAAATCAAATTGGGACAGTGATCCAAATCACTGTCCCCAATTTAGACTGAATCAGGATCTGAATCAAATATGGCCCGTTTTGCATACTCCTAATGCATATATCCTGAAACATAAGTGTGGCGGCTAGGCACCACCACAGGCTCCCAAAGGGGAGAGAGTGAACCCCACAGGCCCTATACCCCGGGAGCAGGCCCTTGGTAGGGCTAACTCACCTCCTGCAGGGCAGCCAGAGCAGGAGCCGCACCTGCGGCCACAGCCGCACAAACCAGCATTATGCTGGCTGTTTAATCAGCTGTTTCCGGCATGGGAAACAGCTGAGCCAATCCCATTGGCTGTACCAGCCACTGCAGGAAAGTTTAAAAGCCCGCCAGATCAGGGGCAGAGAGAGAGAGAGGGCTGGTAGCTCATTAGGCAGGCTCTGGCATGGGGAGGAAGCAACCCAGCCTGTGTGGCTCTCACAGGCAGCACGAAGGAGAACTTTAAGCCTCCTACAGGAGGCAAAGCAGGGGGACCTCCACATCCCCCGGAAGAAGCTGAGACCAAGGAGGCAGGTGAGCTCCCTGCATACAGTAGGAGGGAAGGGGCATCTGAGACCCCTAGAGGGGGCAGGGATAAGGGAGGCAGCCCTATAACTCCCTCCTACTCAGGGGACTATTTTCTTCAAAATAAAAATGAACCCTGAGAGGGGAGGAAGAGCAACTGGACCCAGGTAGACAGGCCCTCAGCCATCCTATGGGCCCAGAGACCATCATCAACATGTATCCAACCGGTTGATGAGTGGACGGGGTGTAGGGGAGGCGAAGCCCCGTGGAACATCGCACCCTATGATCGTAAGTACCGCCATCCATTGGGAGGGCCCCCCGGGAAAGATCTCCATTGAAGACCACCATCATAGTAAGTTTTAACATCAATGTCATGACAGGCAAGTTGAGGGGAGGAGCCATACCCCGACAGGCCGGGCTGCCAGAAGGGTGCATGACATCACAATAAGAATATATTATAAGAGCAGAGCAGCATTTTTCACATCATTTTATTCTTAAACTCTCATGTATAACAGTGGAAAATGGAAACATAGCTATTGTTTTAATTTAGAATGAGTGCTCTTTCACAAACCCCTTTCCTCCTACCCACAAAACAAGTCCTTGTATGCCTCACTAGAATATGAATTAATACAACCACTGGTCATTGCATACAGAAATCATACAGAGGCCCTGCTAACAGCATGAACCCAAGTAGGCTCAAAACAAATACAAAAACTAGGCATACCATATATGGCTTGCACAAACGTTGGGAAAGTAGTTCATTAGTTTTAAAGGAACCTCTAAGGCTGATAGATAGAAAGTGAATTAATAAAACAAATATAAAACACCAAAACAAAGACCAAAGTATCCCTATCTGATGGGAAGTTTACATTAATTAGTGAGAAGTAGGATGTGGATGATGCCACCTAAATGTTTTAATAATTGGTAAGCATTAGCATCTGTTTTGATTAGTGAATAAAAAGGGAACCGGGAACCCTTAGTACTTTGTACTGGTCCTAGGGGTTATGTCAATGCCTATACCATGCCTGCATATGACCTGCCTAGCACCACAGACTAGCTGGTCATGGATAGTGTTTAGGCTTGTTTGTAGACAATATCCCTGGCCAAAATCTATCACTAAGAGCCAAAGCCTTTTTTCTATAAGCACAAGGGGACAGCATCACAAATGGTATCCTGATAGCTCACTCACAGGCCATCCTAAGGAAGGGAGCTTGATGCGACTGACAACACCTAAACCCATAGCAACACTAATGGAGTCAGATGACAAGACGACAGTCTGCCATGACTATACTGGTGACCGCTGATAAAGTACTGAGTGTCTACATACGTAACTTTTGTTACACTTCAGACTATAGAATAAGTCTGCATTATTCCTACCTTGTATGGTAGATGCAGGTGCCGAGGTCCCATCACTTGTAAAATATAGGGAAGTTGAAGGTGTAGGTTTAAGACCTACGGGGGGGGGGGGGGGGGGGAAAAGAGACCATTGTATGGTATCTATTTAGCAAGGTGCTTATTATCCTCAAGGATTAATGGTCTATAGAGAGCCTAAAGTGTATTTACCTTGCAATGTGAAAATAGGTGCTGAAGTTACTTGACTTGTGAAATCTAGGGAGGCTGAAGTTTGTGTTTCAAGACCTATAGAAAAAAGAACATTGTACAGTATTTAATTAGCAGGGCTCTATTATTCACATTACAAGAGGACCTATAGCAATGGTTCCAAACTGGGATATGCAGCATCCCAGGGTGCCATGAGAACCTACCATGATGCTGGCCTTGCTACCACTGCCAGAGAGTAAAATTCTCTGAACTGAGAAACAATGACAACAGAAAGTTGTGTTGCTTGCATGACATTATGCAAGCAGGCATGCTGTTTCAGCTGCAGCTCTTCCCAGTTCATCTCTGATGTGGATCTTGAAAACAGGTATGCAGGACAGTTTCATCCTGCAGCAGCGGCAACTTGGAGGAGATAAATGCCACTGGCACCAGGTAGAACTTCCTTGCATGCCTCCATAATGCAATTCAGGCACTGCACCTTTTTGCTGTAGCCATTTCTCAGTTCAGTTGTCCTGCTTCTTGAAAACAGATGTGTGCAGAACTGTTTCATCTGTCCTGAGCACCTCTGTTTCTGGGAGACTTAACAGGGTCAGACTGGAAAGGGCTGCAGCAAGGGTGTATGCTCCTGCCACAGCACTTCCTAATCTGGCTCTGCAGGAGGTGTGCAGGGCAGATCTACTTGGTCATGGCAGTGGTGTCAGTGGAGTGAGTATAATATAATTATAAGGATCTAATCAGCGAATAAATAATTACCAATTAGCAATACAATTATAATGTTTACATTATATTAAATATTAATACATGTATATTAGTTTCTTTCAAATGGGGTGACATGAAAAGTTTTGGAGTGGAAACAGGTACTGAGGTTACTTGATTTAAGAAACTTAGGGAGGCTGAAGGTGTACTTTGAATCCCTACAAAAATACAAGTGACATCATATGGCATGTTGGGTGTTTATTATAATCCATATTACAAGAGGACCCAACAGCTCCAAGGTCCAGGCAATGAGCCAATATGGAATTAAAAGTTATTCCAAGGAGTTTACTGACAAAAAAGTTTAGAAGTAAAGGCCTTTGTGTTTTAAATGAAGCAGGTATAATACTGACTAGGCTGTCAGAATAGGATGGGGTTAATACTAGAGTGTACTCTGTTCTGTTTAATATATAAGGCTAGATATTCTTGTGCAGTGAATTCAATACACTTTATATTCCCATTATTGGGATAGAAAATGCCTTTTCAGGTATTGTCTGGACATCACAGACCACTGAAAGGGCTTGAGGAATATCATATCCTGGAAGGTGTTTACCTACACCACTATAGAAGGCGAAGTAGGATATAACTAAGATAACATTAGTTATTTCCAAATTTATTCTGGTAAATGAATAATAGCATTATTTTTAAATGGGTCTATAAGTCTGTCATGCCAAAACACCTCAGTGCACTAATGCATTTCTTTCTTTAACACTATCAGTTATATGCATCTCATGCTTATATATGTGCACTGCTTATCCATGAAGCTACACCACTGAGATCCATTATCAAATTACAACATCTAAAGAGATGTTGATAGATTGCTGTAAATTAAGTGGAAGACACCAACTTAATTTCATTTGTGCCCAACGAGTCATGTTATAAAGACATCAGTTTGCAGGACTGGCCAAAGGGAATGAGACCTGACAGTGAGGATAGGAAGTTCAAGTGTATGGCACTATTTCTAGGGCACAAATTAATTTATTGAATATGAATGTGAGATCATTCATATCATTAAGGGCAAAAACATACAAGGCGCCTATACACATTAATCAAGGCTGCTCCAATGTGCTGTAATTACAGTGCATCAAAGCAGACTCGATTAATCAAGTCTGCTGGAATGTAGTAATTACTGTGCTCCAGTAAGCTCCAGCATCAGGTGTATCCGTGTCCCCGTGCTGAAAAATTGTGTCGGGGGTGCTTTAATTAAAGACTGTTTGATGAGCTGCTCTAATCAAAGCACGCCCCCCCCACCCCACCTCCCTGAGTGCTTGTATAAACGCCAACATTTATGTTGGGGGCAATGTAACGTGCCACAGTCATACTAAGTTTTCAGTTCAGCATTTTATCATTTTGACAGCTCAAGTAAAAACAAATATCACACAATTCTCCCAGGATGTGTTATGACTTTTCTAGCTTAGTTATAGATCATAGCTTATAGGGTTAGGTACAGGCGTTACACCTATTGGGCTCTAAGTGCACAGGAAGAGCTCTAAGCCATAACTAAATGTTCACAGCTCTTACAGTGCTGTAAAAATGGTGGATTGCACTCTAAATAATACCTCATCCATTGAGGGTCAAGACTAAAGCGCTTTCTGTTAAAGCACTTTATTGAACAACTATGCCAGATCCCAAAGGTTAACTTAAAGCTTGATTGTTGCCATCCCAGGTGACACTGCACTGGCCCTGCCCCCCCAGCTGTCACCGACCCAAGTCAGTAACAGCCTCTGATCCCAGCCCCACCTCTTCCCTCCAGTCAGCTGCGAGCCGCAGCTAGCCAGAGGGAAGGAGAGGCTCTCTCTCCCCACAACCACTCCAGCCTCATGTGGCATGCTACAGCCTGGCTAGGAAAGCCATAGGAAGAGTCCAGGGTCTCTTTTCCCACAGCAGCCTCAGCCCTGCAGTGCACCATTGCCTGGTTGGGGGGAGATGGGGGCTGTGGGGGAAGAGGTTCTGGGCTCTTTGTCCCCACATCAGCCCTGGTCCCATGGCACACTACTGCCTAGCCAGGATGGCTGTAGGGACATAGAGCCAAGACTCCTTTCCCCTATATCTCCTTAGGGCTGGCCAGGAGGGGCCATGGCAGAAAGGGTCCAAGGTCTTTCTCTCCATTGCATCCCCAGCCCCACAAAACATCACTGCCCAGCTGGTGGGGACTGTAGGGAAGGGCTCTAGGGTTGGTATCCCCCAGCTGCTGCTGAAAGTTATCACCTGGGAGGGGGGCAGGACTGGGGAGAGGGACCACTCTAGCAGCCTCCTGGGCGGTGTGTGGGAGTGCCCCCAGTGGCCAGTGTGGGCAGGCTCCAAGCTTCCCCAAATAGCAAACATCTGTTTGAGTCACTCACACTCTAACTTATAGCATTTTAAGTAAAGCACAATAGAATGCTTCTGCCAGGGGCTTTTTGAATGTCTGTATTTAGTCTAGACTTCTATCTTATGGTGCTATCACATCCCACTGTGTCATAAAAATATACTGAGCTGTGATTATTCACCCTGCCTCATTGTGCACATTCTGCTTAAGGACACAGGAAAAATAAGAAATTCATAATAACTGAAGAATGGAGTGAAACACTTTACCTGTGGTGGTCCTCATGGCTGATGAAAGTATTGATACACCAGGGTCTAAGAGCAATCAAATCAAACAAGACCTCATTAAAATAGCCTTTTTAGTACAGATAAATCTCGTGTGAAGTTTGAGAAAATAGGGTCACTAAGGGTACCCAAGTGACAAGGAATTACACAACCTCAAACTGATTTTCCAGAGCAGCCAATACAATCAAGTGCAGAAAGAAATGAATGAGGAAAGGCTCAGATGACAGTTGAACCTATGGAACATGGTTAGAGGGAGTACACTAACAAATTAACCTGCCATCCATATAAAAGCCACATGCAAAGGTCTGATCCACTCTTCAGGGATGTGCATGTGTGCGTGTGCTCATGCACATTGGGAGATGGCCTTTGGGAGAAGGATCCGCAAGACGTGATGGTGCGTGTACTATGTCCTTAAAGGGGGCCACATTCTCAAGCTTCCTGCTACTGCCCCAGCCTTCTCTGTTCTGTGCCAAGGGCTGGTCTCTTGTATTCCCCTGCAGCTCTGATCATCTTCACCACCAAATCATCTGTTGTCCATTAGTTGTGGCTACATTTTCAGACGTGCTCAGTAAAGAGAGACTGCATTAGAAGGGCATGGTAAGCCAGCCCTTGGGACACAGCAGGAAGGGCTGGGATGGCTGAGATTGACTCTGACCAGTACGCGAAGGTGGGGTTGGTAACCTTTTAAAACGGTGGGTCACGTAACCAATGTAGCACCTCCCACAGGGTGCTTGGGATGGAGTAATTAGCCGTACTGAATAACAGTACCAGGGAGCTCCACCTACAAGCTTCATAGTCTAGCCACATGGTTGCAGCCAAACTGCATGCAGTTTAAAAAGCAACCTGCTGGAAGCAGCGTAGCATGCCTGAAAGTGCTGCCCCTGAGCACATTCATTTCCTGTGCAGGCTTGGTCACAGAAACCATGCATCTGCTCTGTAACCACCTGCAGGCCACATCTGAGTGTATGTCCCATCGCTAGATTGCTGCTGCTGACAGTTTTATAGCTGTCCCTTCTGCTCTGTTCGCACTCTGTGGAGGAGCAAGCAGCTGACTGGAATCATGGTCTTCTGTGCTCCTTTAAGGTCTAGGGCATGGATGACTCAAGGAGGAGCTTAGTGTGATGGGAGCAGAATACTTAGATTCTCTTAATGTGCGTAAAATACTAATACCCTGCCGGGGAGGAGACATTCCTAATACTAATCTTCAAACCAGTACTGTTTTTTCTGCCAGCACAATCCTGCTGGTTACAGATTCATAGGCAAGTTACTGTCGGCATACCAAATAAAATGTGTAAGACCAATAAACACCAAGGAAAGAAAGTAATCATTTAGCTTGCTACAGAAGTACATAACAGAGAGTAAAGGGATGAAACAGAAATGCTGTTTTATGCCAGAATTCACTGTACTGTTAATGAATACGCTGGTTTCTTCATTAACAATAGACAGCAGGCTTCCTGTATTGATTGAAGTTAAGCTTCTAGTAATCTATCTAACATGATCTAATATAAATGCAGTCCATACTTAGGCTACCCCAGTGACCCAGTAACAGTACTCTATGTCAGTGTTTCTCAACCCATAGGTCGCAAATGAATAGTGGGTCCCACAAATATATGAAAGGGTCATGAACAAACTTTAAAAATGGATCAACAAACTTTAAAAAGCGGATTCCCCTTTAAAGGAGAAAAATGTGGGAAATGGTGGCTTTTCTCTTGCAGGCTGGCAGAGTTCCCACCTGCAAGAGGCTTCTTGGTGCCTCCCTGCCCCCCCACCCCATCCTGCCCCACACACCCACCCCCTACACCCCATGCTGGGGGGTTACAGCCTGGAGACACAAGGTGGGGAGTGAAGGGCACTGGCCAATGTTTACAAGTGGGTCCTGGTACAAAAAAGGTTGAGAACCACTGCTCTACATGACCAAAGTGTTAAACACCTCACACAACATTGGTCTGTAGAGGATTTGGTGTTGCATAGGTAATGATCACAGACCTGAGAAAAATTAGAGAAATTAAAGGAAGAGAGGTGTTGATGGGCTTTGAAGGGTGTCCAGTTTGATAATTCAAGTCTTTATCTTGTCCACTCCAGTTATTAATACAAACATTTAATGTAATATAGGGAAATAATTCCTAGCTATGAATTGAATAGAAGCAGCTTACATTATCTGAACCTAGAGGACAGTCTCTTGTACATTGATACCACCCCATCAGCTAGGCATTTTAAATATTTTTTCTTCCAATTTGTATGGCAGTATCAATCCAGGGCTCTACGTTCTGTTAGAAAAACACAAAAGCACTAAAACAGACTAACAGAATTCCCTTTACTCCTGCTGATCCAACTCCCAGGCCCTACCTCCTCAGCAACCTGGAAACAACGATGCAACTTGCATCATACTCTGAAGTTCGGAATAGTGATATCAGGGGGAGTGGGATTATTCAGGAGCTGAGAATCTGACAGGCAAGTCTCTAACCAACAGCTGCTTCTTTCAAATTGAAGATGATTAAGTTAAAGCGCTCCCCTCACTCCTCAGCCTCTGCTTTGAGAGAAAATTCCCAAGGAGGGAGGCAACTCTCACTGTAATGACAGACACTCCAAAGTTTTTATGTAGTGAGGATTTTTATACATACGCACACCCCTGTCACTTAAACCATCATTGGAACCATGGCTGATTGTAATGGAGCCCAATATGTGGTCCATACAAACAATTCTATCCAACAGGCTTAAGGCTGCAGGATATCAAGAGTAACTTGTCCAGCTAAAACTGTAATGGAAACTGAAACACGCAATGACAGAAGCAAAATGTTGATCTAAAGAGCACCAGAATTAACAAGCAGACTGTATGAAATATGACATCAGCTCTTCCAATTCAAGGAGTATATTCTGTGTATAAGAACTAACAATGACAGATTACAGCTCAAAGTGATACTAAGACCATAGGTATGCAATTTTTTCTCTTTTCTAAATTTCCAATAAATTTATAAAAATAGGAAGTCACGAAAACTAAATTTATCCAGAAATGTTGTAGCAAATATATACGTCTATTTGGTTTCAAAGTTGGTTTCAACAGGAAGACAATTTAACAAACTCATTTTTGCCGGTGTGCCAGTGGGGGTAAAAAATAAACAGCATGGCATGGAATGCACTGAGAAGGAATGATTTATCTTACCTTCTGTAGCCACAGGAGTAAGAGCTTTAGATGGTCCGTTGCCTATACGGTCTGTGAACAGACAAAAATAATAAATTCTTAAAAGCAATTAAAATTTTACATTTGTAATAGGATCTTTAATACAACTCCTGTGAGTTGTATCACAAGGCAAAAGTACCTTCATAGCCTGCAGCAGAGTTCCAGTTTAATTGTTCCCTTTTAAAAAACAAAACAAACAAAAAAAAAAGTCAACATTTTTGTAAAGTGACATTACCTCGGTGCTTGTAAATGCTATAGTTAGTTTAACCAAACATAGTTCAGAATGTACTTGAATAATTTTCTCTAAGAATTGATTTGGGGGTTGAAATGTTCACTGGATTTTGCTCAAATAAGAAAAAACTACTTAAAAACTTTTCAGTCATTTTTTAGCTATATCTATATGAGATTCCACCACCCCCATGAAAAAAAAATTGAAAAAACCTGCTGTGCTTTGAACCTCTGCATGTAAATCTTTTCACTTAGAAGCACAGCTGTGACCAAATGTGATCAATACTGGCTGTGAATTAAAGTTATTAACATCTTAAAGGCCACATACTAAAGATCTCCAGGTCATTAAGGGGAAAGCCATCAACCAAAATGAAGACAAACAAACACACAATCTGACATACTTCTGAAGGCAAGTGACAGAGATGGTTTAACAATACAAATGCATCTGAAGATGAGTTGGCTGTGAGGGTCCCACTGATTACAGAGGGGGGGGGGAAAGAGATGCCCCACACCTACTATAAAATGCTTGCATCCTGTTAACAGTCATGTCTCCCATTCTCACAATGCTACTTGATGAAAAGTTCCTTGATTGGGGTCTACCTGCCCCCAATGTTAGAGAGTAAAGAACCATTGCGGCATATATAGATATAGATATATAGATATAGATAGTGCAGAGAAGGCTCCTGTCAGCCAGCCATTTGGTTTTATAGTTGTCAGGGCTTTATTACATCTTTACTTTGATGGAACAATTTGGCCCTTAGTTTGGTAGCTTGAATTTCCAGATAGCTGCAGTGCACACATGCATACATGCATGTCCCAGGAGTGCATATTGCAAAATGCGTGTTATATATAGCTCACTGGCACTTTGCAGGTAGGTCAGTATATACTTAGATCCAGGACTTTAGCCGGTTCCACTGTGAGAGTAAAGTGAAATCTGCTTCCTTTACTATGTGCAGAAGCCTGTCTTCCCACTCCACCAAAAGCACAGTTCAAAATGTTATCTTTGACAGATTTCTTAGCACAATTAAGTTCTTAACTTGACATTATATATGCATAAGAGTATGTTATGCAAGTTAAGTACTGTATATACAAGAATTATTTTTCCATATGCCTGCTATTTTCTGAATAATACAAGTTATAGAGAGTACAAATATTCTGTGTTTTTTACTTTAGAGACAGACTGTATAATATCTATGTTGACGTACCAAAATAAACAACAATTTCTTCAGATGAAATATCCCGTGTTTCATTCCAAGGGAAGGGAAACTCACAGGTACACCAGGCAGTCTGTTTAGTCTCTGACTGATTGGTACTTTGTATCGTCAGCAGTGACGTGAGTTCATAGAAACCACCACTCTCCTTTGATTCTTCCACTTCAATAGATATGCCTGAGAGAACAATAGAAAAGACATCAATCCTCCCTTTATACCCTGTCCCAGAGCTGTGCAAATTTCTGGTTCTTAAAAAATAATAAACTCATACTGTTTAATTCAGATGTCAATCAAATGGCACAGCTATATAAGCTTGACTTTGCTAGGCTGTCTTTTCAATGAATGACATCAACACATGGTGACTTCCCCATTTCTCAGCTGTTGTCCACTAATAGCAGTCACATTCCTTCCATGCTGAAGCAAGTAACCAAAACTCACGCCATAGCAGGAATAGCATAGCAGTAATCTGTTTTCTCCTGGCTTGTTCTTACTTTTCTTTTTAACAGTATTACTTTCTAGTGATATTTATTACCTCCAAATTGGTCTTTAACAATGTCTCCATCCACATACCACACAAGGTTTGGCTTGGGAAAAGCCTTCTTTACAACGCAGGTAAGGTTAGCCTATGAGCAATAAAAGCAAGATTTAGTCAAATATTTCTGACCTGATTCAAGTAATCAAAGCCTACAATTTTTTTATTGCCAACAAAAAAAAATGCTAACATATTAGCCATTCCATTTTGGTAAAGAGGATCGTTCTTATAGCAATTGTATTTCTTGTACATTGTATGGTATCCCTACATTAAAATGGTAAGATCCATCAAGGGACTGTTAAATGGGATAGGAGAGCATTTTTTCTACAATTCAGATCACTAACTGGGCTGCTAGCAACCGGGTCTACTTGGTAGCCTGTGAGGGATGAGATGGTGTTTTTAGTCTAGAATCTAGCAGACACATCTATATTAAAAGAACCCTATAATTTGTAACAGTCCAGTTTCTGGGGAAGATTAAGGCATGACCTGCTTACTACAGAAATTTTCCCTTGATTACAGCCTGATAGATTTTCTGAGAAAGACTGCCTGACACAACGATGCACTAAATACACTGACCCAGTTATTAGCAATCATGTGCGTGTCAGAAAGGTCATGGAGACCTGAATATCTGTTGCATTCTAAATGGGAAAGGACAGGCTGTATTTACTTCTAAATGTGTAGCCTAAAATTTATTCCTGATGGGCCAAAAGGCAAACAGTGAATAAAACATAAAAAACTACACTAGCCCTGAGAGAGATGTCCTCCCATTCAGGGGTTAGACGTATTTGATGGGTAGTGTCTGTTTTCTTGCATTTTCAGTATTTTTCATTTGTTGTTTTGAAGGCTAGACTAAAACCCCGCCTTCCCCATTTTAATTAAGAAGTTAATTTTAGTACAAGAGCATTAGCACATTACACTTGAAAGCCCTCTAGCAGATCATCTTGAAGAAAGCAAGACGTATAACTGTATTTGAAATGAGACTTGTTGTGCCACAGGGGTTACAAACTACATATTAAAGATTGGAGATTGAAACTACAAGATTGAAACCTTTTATTGCCACTGTAAGTCACCTCTGAAGTCATCCAGTAATTGATTTTTTTTCTTTCCATTCTGTTCCTTTTACAGGTGTGGCATTTTTCAGTTACTTGTTTGACTATTATCTCTTTTTATAAATGCTTCCCAAAGGCAAGTACCAATCTGACGTCCAGAATGGATCTCATCTCCTTTCTTGGGAAGTGTGTGGGCGGGGGGGGGGGGGGGTGGGGGAGGTCTCGTTTTTGGGGAGGGGGGTGGGGGGGGGGGGGGGTGGTTAGGGAAGCAGGGGAGGAGGAATGTTAACAGAGAATAAAGATATTTAATATTTGGATCAGGAAGGAGAATTGTTAAAGTCTTCCTGAACATTCTGTAAAGTTTTTTCCTACACACTAAAACCAGTGAAGAGCATTCTTGCTAAATAGGATGCCATACTGAGGATTTAAAACCCGTATAGGTCACTGGGGAAGGCAGGGAAATGACGAAGATGTGGTAGCCCGGTCTGACATGTCTAGTTTGAGAGCAGGAGGGATGTGGTTTTAGACTGTTCTTTCTACTGTCAAGCTGTAATAGAAGAATTGACTCTTCAGGTCACAGCAATGCCTATTTCTATGGTTTACATGGAAAAAAACAAACCCAACACTAAAACTCTGGTCTAGTTGGGTACCAATAATGAAATTAAAAATTCCTACTAATAGCACTGCTAGCCACTTGGTTATTTGGTATACAGTTTATACTAACTATGGTCTGGGTTAGCAAAACACAATCCCCTTCAACTATGCATATTGCAATTTAAAACATATTTTCAAATGTAAGTAGTATAATAGAAGGCACAAATTCCATATTCAGATGCTCAGGTCAGAACATGGACACACAATACTGGAGTTTATACTTCAGTCCTGATCCCAACAATCCCAGCAGTGTATGTCAATACTTCATTTGGGTGATTATCCTTGGGTCCAGATGTACTCAGAGCAGGACACAACACAGGTGACAGAGGTGGCTTTGTGTCACTTCAATACTGAGATGCACTCAATTTAGCATGCGATTCCAGAGCTTGTTTGGGTCTCAGCAGAAGTTAAATTAGCAGTTAAACCCAACTATTTGGGAATAGATGCAAAAGAACTGGTTTCAGAGCTGGGAACCAAGTGAATGCAAGATGGGAAATCCCAGCCAGCTTTTCAGTCCCACCCTTTTTATTGTCTGATGATGGAAAAGCTATTATCATGTAGCCCTATGCTTAGCAGCATAGAAGGAATGATACTCAATCTATTAAATCTCCAGCAAGCATCTCCTGTGGCTTTCCAGGAGCTTTTACATGTGCTAAAGACCCTATTTTGTGCATCTCCTTTCATCATCACAAACCAAAGGAATGGGCACAAACTTTACTTCCTTGGAACAGAGCCACTGTAATGACCTAGGTTTGGGATCTGGAAGAACAACAGAGTTTAACAGCAATTTCTTACTGATCTTCAGTGGGTTAGGATGGAAGCTAACATTGCTGTGGATAGACAGTAGCATTATCTGGATCACTTTAGTGACAGCCTCATCAGAAAGGCTGCATAAACTCCTCTACCCAAAATGTTTGGAGAGGACCACAAGGAATGGATTTGTGTTTCCATTTTGCTTATTTCAGGATCTTACAAGTCCTGTCATCCCCAGTTTCTTACATTTATATTTTCTTACTCTGTACTTTTGTAATCTGTGCAGTTCCATTTCCTTGTCAACAGTCACATTTACTTTTAAATCAACAGGTCGTAACAAACTTTAAAATAGTATAACAATAATCTTATGATCTTCACCACTTCCTAGATGAAACTGTTCCTTAATCTAAGACAGTCTCAAATTTTACTTTTCTTTTGTTATGAAAGCTGCTAAGTATGTCCTCTTGGGGCCTTCTCAAGAATTCCTTGCTTGATGTGCATGAAAGTATAGTCAGCAGTTGACATACTTTTGCATGAAAGACTCCAGGATCCTTAACAAATAACAGACGACACTTCTATTTTAAATTTTGTTCGAGTATACTATTCCATAGCAATAGGCTGGTTCAATAATAGCTTAGAGGGAAGAATGCGAACTACCGACCTTAAAATTGCTGTCATGACTTACTGTAAGATCTGGTTGGCATTTCAATGTATTCTCTGTCTGACATTGCTTAGTTTACCAGATCCTGGATGGCCCACAGCACAACTCTGTGACTTGTCATTTTTATTTATTGAAAGTTCTAAAATCACTCACCTCCTGCAAGGTGCCAATGGAGTTACTTTGGGAGGTGACAGATATTTCGGGTATGGCTGGAAAGCAAATAAAGGCATCTTAATATAACTGATAGTATTAAAAATGTAGCTTCTCTCTCTCAAGTGACTTTGTATCCTATTTCATATAACAAATATAAACCTATGGCTACTATAACAATGACATAACATGCATGATAAGAACAAGTTAAGTGTCATTTTGGGGAAGGGTGGAGAAGAGGCAGAGAAAAGGCTTACATTTAGGCTGCATCAGAAACTCTTTACAAGATCCATAATGCTCCTCCTTAATGATCCTAATATTTGAGGTTTGTGTGTTCAAGAAGTCAGTTCCAATCAATCTGTATGCATTGTTCTGTTACCCTAAAAACCTTATTTTATAATGCTGCTGAAGATAAACCTTGCCCTCGTGACTTCTGTCCACATGTTGATCAAACAACAAAAGTTGTGGTAGCTTCAGAAAGTAAGATTTTACTCCTGCTCAAAACTTACCTTAAAACTTACTGTCACTCCTCCTCTCTCTCCATAATCCCCAAAGGAGTTCAGCTATCTGTGCCCTGCAGATTGGGAAAAATCCTCCCAACATCTTGCAATAATGAATCCTTGACTTGCCCTGACAACTCATTTCTGACTTACAGAATTAAGTTCACATCAAAATAATGGGCCTGTGATAATCAAATCTACCTGGACTGGAAGACAATATGCTGTTTCTTGCCATCACTGCTTGTCTTTTGTGTGCAGGTGACTCTACTGTCCTGAGCTATTATACATTTTAAAAGTGTCTATATGAATTTATTAATCAAGGAAATGCAGCAAACAAGTTGGCAAATGAGCAAACTACAGCAAAAGCTTTGTTATCCGGCCAAATATGCTGGTTATCTGAAAGGCCTGAACAGGTGTCTTTGCCTGTTTGGGCCGCCACCCCTCCCGCCACATCCGGTGTGCTGCCACCCCTCCTGCCACATCAGTGTGCCGGGGGACAGGGAGGTGGGGCCCGGGCATACTGGGGAAAAGTGCTATGCCCCGAGCCATGGGGGCTTGGCAGCACAGGCTGCTTTGCCACAGGTCATGGGGGCTCAGCAAAACTGCAAATGCCATGGCGGGCACTTCCAGTTTTGCTTTTGCCACGTAGACTGGCATGCCAGTTAGTAAGGTGCCAAATAATGTGGCTTTTACTGCATCATAAACAAAATCACCACTCAAGCACTACTGAAGGTACACTAATAATCTCAAATGACTTGTAAGCTAAAAACCCTTCAACCATGTGGTTGACTATTGATTGGTGAATCTGAAAAGGTTCTGTGTTCCCTATCTATGTCCTCTGGTATACTGCAAACCTGGACTAGACATCTTAGCTGACTAAAGCTCCTTTTTGAGATTTCTGGTTCTTCCTGCTATGAGCCTGCCTCTGCAAGATTAGTGCAGCTCCAGTACCTTTGTTCACTGTCCTAAGCACTGTAAGGAATCCATAGTTTAGCAAATAAACCTCTGGTGCTACCTCACTGAGCAGTCTGTCCAAGTGTTTCAGTCATTCTTCAAGACTAAAGCAATATTTGCCTTATCAATTCACTTCATCTACTTATCCATATGAAAAAAAGACAGTCATCATGGTATCGGACTTGGCCCAGCTTTTATTTTATGCTTCAGGTTTTTTATTTTGGAGGAAGGGGATTTTTGTTTTGCTTTGTTTCTTGATGGCATCTCCAAAATACTGTAGAGGGAGAAAAGAGCTTTAAAATATTATTTTGTTTTCCATCTTAACCTAAGCCAGATTGGAAAGTAGAGAAAAATATAATGGGGCAGGAAAACAATAGCCACGGTTTTCAAACTCCAGGAAAAATTATTTGGTTATCCAGTCTTTAACATTTATAGAAGACTAGACCACACCTTTATTTTCTCCCAGCTATTTTTGATCTCTTCTCTTTCTGTTTCTTGATCAAGGTTAGTTTCCTAAATCTATACTGGATTTCAGCCATGCTGTTCTCTCTGTTTTTTTTTAAAAAAAGCATTTCCCAGCATCTTCAGGGAAAGCGTCTGAATATCTTAATACTGTATGTCCTTTCCATTTAACATCCAAGTTCTATTAGCTGCCTTGTATGACATTTACAGATTTTGAGACTAGCAGGTATTCAATACTTAGTATGGATTGTTTCTGGTTTGGGTTTTCACCCTACAAAAAGCAAAGAAAAAAAGGTAGTATTGGGGAAGGTGGGACTTGAAGGAAAAGCACCCAGCTTCTTGTTAAGATATGTCTGACAGCTCTCTGTTTGAGGAAAGACACATTCTTTACATACTTTTTTCCATAAGTCTTTAAAGAAAATCTCATAATTACATGTCTATGCTTTCTAGGGCTAGATAAACCTACTTGACATTTCAGTTTGTCTTAGGGTGTTGTTTGTTTTTTCAATCATATACTGTTTCAAGTCTAACAAACTAAATGCTACTACAGATGGTTATTGATGACTTGCATACAGAGGGTCATATGTATATCTATGCTTTAGCCCTGGAAAGCCTGGGAGTGCTGCCAAGATTCATGATTTGCCTACTTGTCAGCCGTGTAGCTGGTTCAACGTGCCCTTGAACACATGGCTAGAACCTCCTTTATGCTCTCTGTCTCAATCATGCTTCTTGCCACATGCTTGGGGCCATGCTAGATGGGCTGTGCTGCTTAGTTTCTGCATCTTGGCAAGCATTTGCGGGATAGTCATGCTTAGGACTTGCCAGAGGCACTGCACACAGGCTGTCATCTCTTGTGTGCCCAGCTGAGGCCCACTCCCTGGCACAGGGGAAATGGGCTGATGTCCCCTCATTCATTCTCCATCTCCAGACAGTGTAAAATATTCAGGGACTGCTGTAACCTAAGCTGGTTAATTATCAAACCTGAACAACCACAGGCTGACTGGGAAATACCAGACTACATTGTGCCCTGGCAAGTCACCCTGCTTACTCCTTCACAACTCCTCCTCTGGGGACAAAGGATATCTAAGAATAGGTTGTGCTACTTCTGTGTCTGGCGAGGACTCCAATATTGACATCAACCTATACTGGGACTTTTTCCACAAGCTTTGTGTTCAGCCTCTGCTGCTTCTGCCCTACCTCAGAGGCATAAATAGAGCACATCTGGACAACGTACACTGTACTGAGGACCATAGCCAGCCAGCATTGCTATCAGTGAGTAAACACACATATAGGTATGTCACAGTAAGAGATAAGAGAGAGATTGCTAGTTATTTTACCTGATAAAATGGCAAAGTGGTAAAGGGAAAAAAAGAGAAGGAAGTTGCATTTCCCTGTCACCTGTGCTCTACTGGCCTAGAGCACTATAAGGCATCACAAGATCCAACATAAAAAATGTGTGAGAGAGAAAACAGCTCTGATCGGGAAACTCTGCAGAGAAAGCATCTGGAAAGAGGTGTGTGAAAAATACTTTCTAAAAGAGCACCAAGAGCTATGCTGATACACAGAAGAATGCTTTCACTTTGTGATTTGCAACATTGCTGGTGGTTCTGCTGGACCACGAAGAGCTCAAGTGATACGTGTACCAGAGAAGAAACACATGAGCACTTGTGCAGGACTGTGCCTTTGCATAAAGGGTGTAAAGAAGGGCAGAGTGTTTATACCACCTAATAACAGGTACCAAGCTGACAGCTGAAGTGGTGCAGTGGGGAGAGACACCAAAGGTGGAATAAAATTGAGCACACAGATGACAGAAGATGGTAAATCAGTTTCAAAACTGTGTCGTGGACTGTAAGAAACTTTCTGGTCTTCAAAAAGGTAGATCGACGTGACAAACAGTGCTTAAAGCTAGGCCTATGCGAGATGAAAATCTACCTACAGAGGGAGCAGGAAAAGTGAGGGGAAGAAGTAACAGACCAAGTCTGGGAGGAAGAGAAATGGGCCCTGATGTTTGTGGATAGAACCTAAGGAAAGAAGGGGGGTGGGGGTGGAAATTGCATGGGAAACTGGATTGTATTAGTAAAGATGTGAAAGGTGGAATGCCTAAAAGAAATGGGAAAGTAAGTTGGAGAAGAGTTTGTTTCCAGGAACAGGATACATACTTAACTATGCTTTTTAAAGGGGAAGAGGAAGGGAAAAGAAGAAAAAACTAAATGGAATCTGGATATTTTTGTAAATAATAATAATAAAAAATTAAGGTTTAGTTTCTACTTTAACACTCCCTCCCCCCCAACCCTTCTGCTGAGTGCTTGGGGAACCCCGCCCCCGGCCAAAAAAACCCAACCAAGTGCCAGAGACAAAAGCCTTGTTAGTCATGGTGTCCTTCACTTCTAGGCTAGCTGCTGGGAACCAGGGTGAAACCAACACGAATCTGGTGAGACTACTGTAAAAAGCTTAACGGAGCACAAAGGTCATCATTTATCTCATCTGTGGCGAGAGCTGGCTCAGCTTCTACCCACTCACATCCTAACATGTCGTAGCACAGGTGTCTGTGCACAGCCACACCTGGCATGATTTGAAATGCATATCAAACAACATCAGTTAATATGCCTGTTTAATTACACTGAGAACAAGGGGATATTTTCACTCTGGTAGAGCTTCAATTATATGCTTATTGAAAAAAGTAACAGAGTTATCCAGGTTGAAAATCTATTTGTTTAAAGTCACTTCTTAAGTTTAGAAGCCATTTCCGAGTCACACAAGTACAAGATAAACATCTCAGATCATCAATTTCTACTTCTGTTTCTTTTGCATCAGTGAGTGATAGCCCGACAGAGTCCTCTTTCAAAGCTTATTGCATCTTTATATTAGGAGTGTCAGCCTAGTGAAAGCTGTACTACAAACTCCTTAAAGCGGGGTGCATATGAGTTAGTTGACAGACCCTTGGCTAGATACCTGTTTATTTTAGCAGCATTGGAATTGCTTCCTTTAAGACCTGGAACACTATTTGAAGATAGAAATAGGGACTACGATTGATTTAAGACAGTAGGCAAGGCTGTCTGGGGGGGGGTGGGAAGAGAGAATGGGAAGGGAGGTGACATGCTGCTAAGTCTGGGGAGGAAGCAAGGTGGGGCAGGAAATTCTTACTTGATTTGGGGACTTAAGAAAAAAGTCCTTGGCTGTTGTTTCTGCTGTGTGGTCTTCTTACTCTGGTGGGGTGGAGAAGGTGGGAGCGGAGGTGCTGCTCCCCACCCCCCACTCCTCCTGCAGTGATAGTTGCTGCTTGTACAACCCCTTTTCAGTATCATGGCTTACCCATGAGGCTATGTAACTGTATTTCAATAGCTGTTGAATACCCTTCCTATGCCATTTTAAGTTAAACAAAGCAAGCTTTTGAAAGGGACCCAGGATGCCTTACTTCTGGGTGCCAGTTATTGCCAAATTGCTCAGATCCTCATTGTCCCCAAGCAAACAGATAAGTTAACTGCTCATCTGTTGGCATATTGAAAATCTATTTCCACAGGCATGTTACTTTCCAAACATATGTATTTGATGCTTCAGACCTGCCTCCAGTACCAGCAACTACAATTTTGGCACTGGTTGTCAAGAATGGTGGGTTTATTTTATGAAACAATCTACAACAACTCCTCCTCTTTGTAACTGGTGAAAAAAAGACCAAAAAGCATTTTAGTCAGGGTGCCTGCATAATACCAGGCCAGAACGTGACCGTATATTGTAGAAAGGAGGAGTAGAGAAAGAGATAAAAAAGGAGTTAGTGTGAGCCTCTTACCAAACACTTTCACCTTGGTGGTTCTCTTCACAATTCTCTCTGGATGGTACGTCACGAGGCACGAGAAGGCCTTGCCATCATCAATAGTTTTGAGCGGGGAAATCTGCAGTGCATTTTCTGGACCCAGATGAATTCTGTCTTTGTACAACAAGTTATTGGTCTTTTTTGCTTCATGCTGGTATGAACTTTTGGTTATCAGTTTTACTTGACTTCCATTATCTCTCTGTTTAAAACACAAGCAGAATGTTTTCCAGTCAAACTCTGTTCCTACCACCATACTTATTCTCCTTTATTCCCCATAATAGGTAGAACTCTGTAACCTTTACATTAACTATCTTTAATTCTGGAAATTATGCTAAGTGCTCCAAGATCCACAGTTATAAAAAGGATATATGGTAGTGATTACCACATTAAAGTTAGGAACGTCTCCCAAACAGCATACAAAAAATAAGATAATAAATAAAAATTAGTACCACAATACTTCCTTATTTGAAGTTCAGGTCAGGAAACTGTTTTGCGAAACTCTGGGGTTTCACGATAGGTCATCAAGGGTTCTACAAAGAAACTGGGGGTAATGGCAGAGTGGGCTAGAAGGTAGTGTGCCACCATTGCCAGGCTGGATTGCCTTGCTCCATGTTAGTTCACGCAGCTTGCGGAGCCATGGCAGAAGTGATGTTAAAGGGTTCCATGACTTTAGGAAGTTTGAAAACCACTGTCTTAGGTAAATGTCAGATAATTTGAGTATTAAAAAGACTGAAGAAAACAACATTTTTTGTCTCCAATTAAAATTTATATTTTAGTTGCATCAAGATAATAGGAAAAAAAACCCTACTGACTTCTTCATTTTTAATTAATTCCATGTAATGAAGAGTTTAATATCTTGTCTTTTTTAGGTTGGATAACACTTACTTGTTCATTTGTAAAGTGCATACGTGCATGTAGTATGATCACCTCTCTGATAAGTAAGATTTGAACATGTCTAAGTGACTAACCCTAGCTGTCTTCTACAGATAATTTGAATCCATCTTTCTTAAGTCTAACAGACCTTGCCTAAAAAGTTTCAAGTTTAGTAGCAATATAATGAAAAGACAAGATCCAAATAAATAGCCATTGGGGACAGAGGCTTTCAAGAAAAGAAAACGTGTGTTTACATTTGAAGCTTGGTTTAAAAAGAAAAAAAAGAACACAGCGGTTAGAGTTTTTGAAAAGTAAAGTAAAAGGAGATATAAGCCTCAAAAAAGAATGAACACAAATATAGATAATAATCCCCTGGCCACAGGATTGTGGAAAGTAATCAAGGTACTGTTAAACAGAAAGACAGATGTGCATGTGCATGCATGTATACATGCACACTCCCCTGAATAATGTGAGGGAAAAAATGTGACCGACTTGGTTTAATTCATGCCTAGGATCATGTACAGTAGTTTTCGAGGTCATTTCACAAAGGTAGTCAACTATGTGTGCATGTTTGTTTTTTATATTCCCCCTGGCAATCTAATTTTAACTTCAAAGTTAGCTGGAAACAAAAAAGCAGTCCATGAATTTCTACCATGCCTTCCCTGTTTCTTGGTTCACAAACACTCACACTGATGCTATCTATAGTTTTTGCCTAGCAATTCCATTTTACCCATTTGTGTCCTGCAAAGAAATATTTATTTTATTTGGAGCATAGAACCTCTCGTTTCTTCCCAATATCTTAAACGGAAAGAGAGTTATACTTACCACTACCCACTCAAAGGGCCAGTTACCAGAGATCGCATTCTCATGACATGGGATTGTCAAAGTCTGGTTTAACAGGGTTTTCTTCACATAATGTTGCTCCTCTTGTACCATTGTAACAACATACAAGAAAAAAAATTAGGAAATTAAGAAAATAAGTAATTGTACTTCAAAAATATATATCTAATATTCATTGCTTAATGTTCCTAATCCTATACACATGTACTTGCTAACTGAAAACTATTGGCCCAATTCCACATCTGGAGCACATCTGTTACTAGTAACTGTCTGCGTGGAGAACTTGCAGACATCTTCTGATCAAGACATACTCCAAGAGGAGAAAAAAGAGAAAAGGGGAAAAAGTGAAGTTACTGCCAATTTGTCTACCTTTAGTAATTTTAATCTGAGGATTGAAAGGGGCTTTATAAACATCAGAGAAGCCTCTTTGTTCCTCATGGAAGTTAAGTTTAAACTTGGACTTGTAGACATTAATGTGGAGATGAATTTAGTGACTTGATGAAGGCCACATAGTGAGTTGGTAGAACAACTAAGATTAGATCAGTTCCTGGTTTCAGTCTTGACTCTCCCTCTTTCATGCAGGAGCCAAGTTCAGGAAACAGTTTAATTCAATTTAATTAAATGCCTCAACGAAACTTATACTGATTAGTGCAACTATCTGACTCTCCTCTCCCATACCCAACAACAGCATTACATTTTACTGAATTAATAACTAAAGGCCTATTCACTCAGCAACTTCTTCAGTATTAGTCACTGCACCTGGCTTAATAACAAGATTTAAAAGCTATCCTTAACAAAGCAGAGGGATTATACATTCAGCTAAGCACAGACTAAGGCATAACAGCCAAAACAAGCTTTTGCAATGATGTTTTTCCATGTGGGTTACCCATATAGAGATTGGTTACCCAGGCTGGTTTTATTCATTCTTTCATTGTGCTTGGACCCAAGTTCCAAGAGATGATGCACGACAGGAGAATGGGGTCAATTTAGATGACCTCTGTTTGCTCCATAGAAGCAGGTTCAG